GCCCGATCCATCAGCAGCGGGTTCGGGGAATCCAGCTCCACAGAGCCCAAAACTCTAGGTGTCATTCACCTGGATTCACCCGTGCCAAACTACCATATTCGTCAGCTGTTATTGGGAGGAGCCAGACGTGGCCTTCTGCCTCCCATACAGGCAAGGAGGTGACCCCGGGGAAATGGACACACAGCCAAGACAATATTTGTCATATGGTCACATGACTCGGTCCCAGGGACAGCCCAGCGTTCCTGCCACACGGAGGCCCTGGGTTGTCCCTGACACCTCCTGCTCGTCCCCGTAACCACTAGGGGGAATGTGCCTTCCCCATTTGTTGTTGTTGTGTGGGGGGGATGCTCAGAAACAAACAACTGTGTGTGTCTTAAGGCTCAAGCTTCTGTCTCTGGGGAGGGATCTGGTGTCCACACCAAGAAGAAGCCACCCTGGGCCAGCCACCCCAGGCCGAAGGCAGGAATTTGAATCTGCGCGCTCCCTCCCTGGGAAGGTGTCAGACAAACATGGTCTGGGCCTTCCCATGGGAGGTGTCACAGAGCAAGCGGCCACTCAGCAATGTCTTAGAGGGACAGCAGAGAAAGCGCCCAGTCCTGGGTGTATGTGTGTGAGAGTGGGACACAGCTGGCAGCGCTCAGGGCTCACTCCTGACTTTGCCCAGGGACTGCTTCTGGCAGGGCTCGAGGAACCATGGGCAATGCCCAGGATCGAACCCGGGGCAGCCGTGTGCAAGGTGAGTGCCACACTCCTGGTGCTACCTTTCTGGCCTGCCCTGAATTCTTGAACGGTTCTTGGAAGGCAGATTGATCTTGGATGGGATTTGAGGAGGATTAGCTGGTGGGTGGGTGAGGTTTCCTGACTTTTGCAAATCCCAGGGTGAACAGCGGACCATCCTGTGATGAAAATCTCCCTCCTGCTATTCCACTGGCAGATCAGTCTCCCACGGGATGGAGAGTCCCTGGCCAACAGCTGACCAGAAAAGGGTGGTTGGGTGAAGTCGGGGCTCATCGGCGCTACCTCGAGAGGGTCCCAAGCTTGTGTCCGCCAAGGTGAAGGAGCAGAACTCAGGGGTGGGGGTTATGGGGATGGGGGGCTGCTCCCGCCTTCACACGTTTCTCATCAGCGGGCCCTGCCAGTTGGTTCCCATGCACAAAGCTCTTTTTGGCAGTCATGCCCGAGACTTGGTGGCAACATCTGTGGCATTTTCTGATCCTTCCCAGACCTTCTGGCTTCTGCGGCACAAGGGCTGAGCAAGACGGCGGCAACTGGAGAGTAGCTGGAGCAGTGCATTGTGGGAAGGCAGGGGTGGGAAGGCCGGAGTGCAGGCATCAGGAAAGGGAGGGTCTCCCTCCTGAGTCACGCCTGTCCCATCTCCAGCACCCTCTCTCCCCGTGTGGGGACAATGGTCACCTCCCACGTCCCCTCCAGTCTCTTCCGGGATGCAGTCTGGGGGTCTGCATCCTGCCCAAGGCCAGCTCCACGCTTGCCGGCCCTCATGGCAGTGTGCGGCCCGTGACACGTTGGCACCCACTGACGGAGCATCCCCGGAGCCCTTCCGCACGCTGGGCGGCCTCTCACCAGCTTCCTCTTTCCCGACTGCCGGCTGCACCCACATCACCCGCTTTTCCCACTGCTTGGTGCTGACTTTTCTGGAACGCCAGCATGGAAGCTTCTCAGTCCACTGCTCACGCCTGACGTTGCAGGTGGTGGGGTGGGGTGGGGTGGGGGGAGCGGTGTCCATCCAGCTGGGGGCGCTTCCTGGCTCATCTCCCGGTACGGGTCAGGGCAGAGGGCCGAGGCTGCCCCCAAGGGGCTGTCTTCCTGGGGGCGGATGGCATGTCCTGTGACTCATGTGTCTCACGTTGCTCTCTGGGGTGACTTGTCCTGCTTCTGGGTCACAGGTACCTGACACCAGGTTTTCTCAGTCCAGGAAAGTGGATGCAAGCACACACACACACACACACACACACACATGTTCACATATACATGCTCACATGCTCACACAGCCCACACACAAGCACATATGAGCACATGTTCACAAACCTGCACAATGCCCACATGCCTGTACACACATCCACATGCATGCACATACATGCTTTCATGATACACACGTACTCAATGCGCGCACCCACATATACACATGCTCACACACATACACATGCTTACACGTGCACACATGCCCACACAAACACGCACGTGTATGTACTCACATGCAACATGTTCCCTTGTCTCACATCTTAGCCTTGAAAGGGATACAGAAGGGATCCACATGGTAGGTCTCTCCTCTCCCTGGTTTCTTGAGCCCCTTGGAAGAGGTGAGCAGTGTTGCAAAGGGCACCTGGGGCCTCCTCCACATGTCTTTTATACATGCATTAGAAACGTGTACATATCTCCCCGCAATTGGTATATATGCTTTTTGCTCAACACCTTACTATCTGTATCCTTTTATATGACTGCGTAATATTTCATTGATTGAATTACCTTTTTTTTTTTTTATCTATTCCCATTTGCATGGGCATTGGGTCATTTCTGATCATTGACTCTCAAACAAAATAAATTGCTTCCTCTTCCTCCTCCACCTCCTTCTTCCTCTTCCTCTTCCTCACCCTCTCCTTCCTCCTCCTTCTCCTCTGGCAGTGCTTGGGGGATCCTCCTGACTGCTCCAGCGATGTGGACCACATGGTGCCTGGGATGGGCTGTAAGCAAGGCCTAGCCTCACTGCTGTTCCATCTCTCCAGCCCCTACAACTCTTCAGCCTTGGGTTGGTTTCCCTGGATGTTTGCTTCTGGAGGTGAGCAGAGTTTCACATACCTGTTATTCCACTGAAGTCCCAGCTTGTAGCCCAAATGTGACGATGCTTTGTTCCCTCCTGTCTAGGCCTCATGCACAGAATTTGTTATCATGTTTTCTTTTCTTTTTTTTTCTTTTTTATTTTTTTGCTTTTTGGGTCACACCCAGCAACGCTTAGAGGCTTAGGGGTTAGTTCTGGCTCCGTGGTCAGAAATGACTCCTGGCTCAGGGAACCATAGGGGATGCTGGGGTTTGAGCCTGGCTCAGCTGCATGCAAGGCCAGAACTCTCCCCGCTGTACTAATGCTGCAGCCCCGCATGCTACCACTTCTATATGCCAGACACAGTAACAACAAAGTCTCCAATGGAGACGTTACTGGGCCCGCTTGAGCAAATCGACGATCAACCACTTCTAAATGTTTACAATTAAGTCCTTTTGGACTTTGCTTTCTCCTCCTCTGTCCACATCCTTGTCCAGTGAAGGAATTTGGTTATAATACACTTCCCAGCAAAGTGATCTCTTAAGACTCCAGCCTTCTGGGTCATCTCCTCAGCCCCCATCTCATTTCTTTTCCTTCTGTTTTTTTGTTTTGGGGTTACACCTGGCAGTGCTCAGGGTTTGCTCCTGTCTCTGTGCTCAGAGAGCACTCCCAGCAGTGTTCAGAGTGGGGGTGCGTATGGGGTCCTGGGGATCGAACCCAGGTCAGCTGCATAGAAGGCAAGCGTCCTACCTGATGTGCCATCTCTCTGGCCCAGTCGTTTCTTCATGTGACCTGTTTCGACTTCACGTGGGACTAGGTTCTCTCCAGGCAGGACCCCACGGGGGACCAAGCTGGGGACTTCCTCTGAGTCAGACGGAGATGAGGGTGGGGATGGGAGGTGGGATCTGGGGGGGGGACAGGCAGGCTGCCATGCGAGGTTAAAGGGCTGATGGGCACAGCCGCAGAGGTGCTGGGCCCCTAAGTGCAGTGGGACAGGGGGAGACCTAGCGTGGAGGGGGCACCGGGGCCACATGGCAGGGGTGCCTATTCCGAGCTCCCAGATCCTGAGCCAACCCGTGACCTCCACTGCTCAGTGTGTGCTTAGAGGATGGCGGAGCAGAGTGGGGAGCAGGGGGGGGCTTTCTCAAGAAGGTGAGGCCAGAGGTGCCCCACAGCCCTGGTGGTCTTTCAGTTGTGTGTTCTCTCCCCCCGCCCCCAACTAGCAGCCTCTGCTTCTCCTGGGAACTATGAATGCAGCTTCCCAGGGCTGGGGAGAGAGTCCAGAGGTTGGGCACAAGCTGGCCCTGGGTCCATCCTTCCTGGCGCCACATGCCCCCAACCCCCAACACAGCTGGGTGTAACCTCGAGACTCCCATTCATGCGCTCCTCAGCACCACGGGGCCCGAGTTCTCACAATGAACCCTGAGCTGGGGAGGGGTCTCTGGGCCCTCTGATTACCACTTGAGATGCCCCCCCCTCCGCCCACGGGACTTGCTGGGTCTGAAAATTGTGGTGAGCACTTTAGGAAGCCCTTGGTCAGTGGTCTCTGACTTCTGCACCCTGGCTTGGCACCCCTCTGAGACCCGGTGGTTGAACTCACCCTCAGATGACACGCATGCTCATGGGGGCCTGGGGGCTGCAGGACTGGGTGATGCAAACTGAGTATTGCTGGGCGGGGGAATTTATCCAGGAGGGAGGCGAGTTGGGGGTGGGAGACCCCAGCATGGGTCAGCTTCCGGGGCCCAGTTCCTGTGTCTGCCCCCAGCCCTTTCCCAAGAAATAACTGAGCCCGAGCCGACTGCTGCTTTGAAACAAGCGCTTTAGTGGGGACACAGAGGCATAAATACTGGGGCAGGAGCACCGAGAGGGGGCCTGAGAACCCCCCTCCCAAGCCCCCTCAGGGGCCACACCCGCCCCACCCGCCCCTCTGAGGTAGTGTTTCCTAGGGAAACCGTTTAGAATCCGTTTCTGTTTTCCCGCTCTGTTGGCTGGTCCTTCGCAAACAGAGCGCCCTCCGCTCCTGTGCGGTTCCTCAGCAAACTTGCGCTCGGAGCTCCCTCTCCTCTGGAACCCAAGCCAGGGCAGATGGGGGGCCGGAGGGGCCAGGATCTGCCGCCTCACCTACGAATCCTCCCCTTGCGAGGCCCCGGGCAGGCCCTGCTTCTTCGTCACGCTGGTGTGGAGCCCGCTGTCCTCCACACCTGGGGTCCAGGAGCCCGGCTTGCGATCACTCCGGGCACTGGTTCTTGCAGGCCTTGAGGTCGGCGGGTTTCTCCTCCTCGTTGCAGGTGGTGGCCAGCTCGCCCGAGGGCAAGCGACACTCCACGAGACGCATCTGCCAGCCGGCGCCGCAGGTGCTGGAGCAGTTGTGCCATGCCCCGACGAACCACTGCGCCTCATCCAGGTACACCTCGTTGCTGCCCTCGGCTTTCTGGGCTAGGGGGACCTGGCCACCCTTGACGTTCTGGGGTTGGGGCTTTGCGCCCGAGGTTCTCTGCACGCTGATGGGCCTGTTGAATTCCGCGTGGTTGGGCAGGGAGAAGCAGAACTTGATGGCGGGTGGCGGCTGCTCTCCGGCGACGGTTAAGAGCTGCAGGGTCAGGGGCTCAGGCAGCGGCTCGAAGGTCTGCAGGCGCTCCAGGCTCACCATGCAGCCGCTGTACAGGATGGTGGTCCCGTTCAGGTAGACGTCGTACTCCGAGGGCATCACGAACAGGTCCCCGTTGAGCAGGTAGCTCCCGTCAGTGGCTTTCAGGACCAGGTAGTTCCCGTCGTTCAGGAACCCGGGGTAGCTCCGCTGCTTGATGTCGATGTTGGTGGTGCCGGCTGGGAAGGTGACGATGTGGTTGTAGCCGTAACTAGGAGAGGGAGAGAAACACTCCCTGATGCTGCCACCCAGGGCTGGGGAGCAACCAGCCTGCTGACTTGCCCTGGGCAGCCAGACACGGCTGGCCAAGAATTCAGCTGTTGCCCCAACGTTGCTCAGAAATGGGCTGGTCCAGGACTTAAACGCGGCCCTGCCAAAGGCCACCGTGGGCCTGAGGAAGGGGGGGGTGGGGTAGATGCCAGAAAACACAGAGGCTAGAGTCCTCCCTGCCTTGTGCTCCTTTCCCCCAGGATTCCCCCTGCAGGAAGTAGGGGGTTGTCCTTCCCCACAGACCCCTGGAAAAGCAGCTTCCGGGCACAGGTCCGAGCCGCTCAGGCCAACCTTCTCAAAGGCGGGGGTCCCTGCGTGTGCCCCCACTTCCCCGCCAGGCCCCGTGCTCAGTGCTCTGTGTCAAAGGCCTCTTGGAGAGACCCCCTCGACCAGAGTCTGTCCCCCTCCGCTCCTCTACCCCAGGCCTCCCTCCAAGACCCACCTGGTGGGGTTGAAGACGCCGGTGTACCGCTGGCACGTGCTACTGTTGCCACCGCACACGCCGCAATGGTCCCGCGTCTTGAGCGAGCCGATCACGTGGTCGCAGCCGGCCTGGATACACTGGCCGTTCACACAGACGGAATCCGTGTCCAGCCCACACGGGGTGCCGTCCACCACCTGGGGCCGGGAGACGGGCGTTGGAGGGCGGGTCGACTCTCAGCGCCCCGCCCTGAGGATCTGATTTCGGGGGTCGGGGGGTTGGGGGGGCGGTGGGAGGGGCGTCTCACCTGGCCGAACATTTTGTACTCCTGCCTTCCTCGAATCCTGCAAATCAGTTTGCAGCGGTCCCTCTCCGACACGCCCGCGTACTTGGGCATCCACTGGACCACGTTCCCTTCAGAGTCCTTGTAATTGATGTTGTTGAACTGCTCACACTGCACCTCCCTGAAAGTCTTTCCTGAAAGGAGGAAGAAGCGGCTATTGGCCCCAGAAGGCTGAGGGCCCCGTGGAGAGAGCGGTTCTGGGCATCTTCCTCCCTCCTGGGCCTGACCTGACCCCAGGCCCTGGGGCTGCTGTGATGAGCCTGGTACTCAGAGCCCCGGCTGAGTCCACCAGTGGCGCTGACTACTCCCAGGGGCGATGCGAGCAGCACCCCTGTCTGTCTGGGAAGCACGGGGTCCCCACAGCAAGAACGGATACACTTGCATAGGTGTAGGGACGGGACAGCTCAGCTTACTTCAAATGCAGAGTCCTATTCTGGGGTCCCACCCCACCTCCTAGGAGACCTCAGAGCTGAGGTCGGAATGTCTCCGGATGTGCCTCCCTTGCTCTGCTTTTGCCCCAACACCCACCAGCTATGATTCTGGGCGTCCTTGATGACCTCAAACCCAGAGAGACCCAAATTCTTGCACAATTCGTCTATGAATCCCTTGCTTCTCATTTCTTCAGATCACATTCCAGAGACTGAAGAGTGTTGTGCTTGCCTTACATGTGACGGATGCTGGTTTAATCCCGGGCATCACATAGGGTCCCCGGGAGAGGTTCCTGAGCACAGAGCCAAGAGTAGGTCCTGAGCACTGCTGGGTGCAGGTCTCCGCCCCCCAAGACCATATTCCAGTGGCTCCCTGAACACCTGAGCCTCTACACCCTCTTTTTCCAAACCATCATTAAGTCTGACACCATATCCTTCTGTGCCTTCACATCTGGTGCCACCCCGACCCCAGGCCCACTAGACAGTACACCCATCCCAGGGCCTGGCTCCCATGGTTTCACACAAGGCCTAGTGCCCCTTTTCTCCTGCTGAACCTGCTTCCCGAACAGTCTGTCAGAAGTAAGTCGTGACTTTTGGTCTTCCCCCTGCACTTCTGAAATACACCCATTCTCAATAATGAGGCCCCCCCTAACTCAGAGCTTCCTAACGTTTCTCCACTTGGATCCTTTCATTTGCCTCAGAAATAAATGCCAGGTAAGCGCTGCGAGGAATACCCCAGATTTTCCCTGTCTTGGCCTGTGAACTAGTTTTAGTAGCTGCATTCAGAAACGTTTCACTGGTGCCAACATCCTCAGGACTCCCTCTCTCAGTTACCTCCTGGGGGGGAGGGTCACGGCTAACAGTTGGAGTCCCGAGGCCCTAGCAGACCATCAGCATGGTCTGTAGACTTGTCAAGAGACAGAGACCCACTCCCAAGAGTCCCAGTGGGGGGGTCTGGGTTTCCGGACTGGAAAACGCTTTCTAGTTTGCCCCCAAGAACTGGCATGACAACCTCACTTGTTTTTTCAGTTTTCAGGCACCTTTGTGCTTCGTCCTGGAAACACAAGAATATTCCGGACTCTCCCTGGTCCCTCCTTTTCTCTCTACCCCCTCCCACCCCTCACCCCCACCCTTCATTCCTTAACCAGGCCACGTCTTGCAACTCCAGTCTCTAGACGAAGTTCCTGAAATTTGGTGCCCTGCATCCTTCCCACCTTGCAGAACTGCAAAGCCGACAGAGTTCCTCACTCGCTGCCTCTGTACTTGGACTCATCGCTCCGAAAGCGTGGCTCGCTTTCAGCTGCTAGTCAATACTTTCCAGAGTTGTGTCCCGTGCCATGGGGAGCTGGAGGAGATCGGGGCAGAGGGAGGCTACCTCTAGGGGTTGCCAGGCCTGGGTCTGCCTCTGAGCTTCTGTGGGCATTTTCTAGTGTGTCTGGGCAGGTAGCATGGGACGAGAGGAGGGGCGGGGAGAGAGGGGCAGGGAGAGGGGAGGCTGTTGTTTGGGCTGCTCGTGGCCTGCCATTGCCAGGGGAGAAGGAGTATGCACCAGGATCAGAAACGCTTCCCTCTGTCCTGGCTTCCAGGCTCGCTGCAAAGGCACTGGAGGCTTGGCCCTGGCCCTTGCTTTGAAAAATACACAGACAGGCTTTCCATGGTTGCCTTCAGGAGCATTCGGACCCTAGATGTCAGCCCCCTGCCAACCCCACCCACATCTCCTTGTCCTGGGCCCCCCAGATACGCTGGGCTGCTAGGGAACTTTCCTTGTCTTTGCCAGGCACAATGAGAGAAGCCTCGGGTCCTAAGGGCTCCCTAAAAGCCGGTGCCTTGCTGAGCTTGTTCTGGGGACACCCGTCCACCCTGCCCCGGGAGTCTGCTGCCCGGTGGGCATGGATACGCAGGCCTTACTGTCTGGGCACTCCTGCGTGTTGCAGGAGCGGTAGCTGGTCCTCTGCCCCACGCAGTATTCGCCTCCATTCCTTGGCGCGGGGTTGGCGCAGTCGCGGTGTATGTACTGGATTCCTCCCCCGCAGGTCCGGGAACACGCTCCCCAGGATCCCCACGAGGACCAGCTGCCATCTACGCTAGTCTGCAACACACAAGGCGTCAGTGCTCCGTGGGGCCCAGGCACCCCGACCCCTGTTCCGTGACTCTGCGGGCTGCTTTGATCATTGCTACCCCGACCCCAGCAACTAAGGCAGCGCCTGGCCCCTTGGCAAGTTGCATTGGATGCCAGAGTTGCTCAGTGCCACGGCGCTCTGTGGAGGATGTAAGTGGGCCTGAGGCAGAGATTCTCTGCCGGGGGGCCAATTTGGTCCTGCGGGAGATCTCTAGCCATGTTTGGAGCGACTGGGTTACCCGAACTGGGGGTGGAGAACAGGGGTCCTAAGACACAATCAGCGATGAGCTAGACATACCCCAGCCCTCCAGCCAGACCTTGGCAGCCCACATGCTGGCAGTGCCAAGGTCAGGCCTAAGTTGGCTCTAAGGGTTCCATGGTTAAGAGAGATTGCTAGCTCTACCAGGGTCAGGAAAATATCCGGGAGATGCAATTGAAATACGCAGAGAGGCTTCTAACTTTACAATGCACGTTTGGAAACAAAGTTTTTGTCTTGGGAAGTTTGGTAGAATTTTCAGAATAAAAATGATCAAGAAAGTAGCAAAAAAGTAATAATACTCATAATGAAAGAAGGCATACTGAAGTAATGTTTGCCTACATCAAAGCTGTGAAAGGCCCGAAAGTGTCAAAGTCGGGGCTGGAGAAACAGTACAGCAGGGAGGCTTGTCTTACATGCAGCTGACCTAAGTTTGATCCCTGACACCCCACCCGCGTGGTCCCCCAAGCCCTGTTAGAAGTGATTCCTGAGCACAGTGCCAGGAAGGAGTAAGCCCTGAGCACCACCTCCAAATCCAAAAAAAAAAAAACCAAAAAAACAAAAAGAAACACAAAAGAGAAAATAACACTAACGGAATCTGACTTCCCCATAAACCATCAAAGTGAATATGCATATTTATGCGTATTTCCTGAATATGCACCTGCTCTCTTTGCTCTGAATATGTAAATCCTAAGGGCTTGGTATCTTTACTAGGCACAGATATACACAATCCAATCACATAAAAGGCCTTTCAGGAGCTCTTTCCTTTAAAAAGACAGGGGGAGGAGGGTGTGCTCGAGCGATAGCACAGCGGGTAGGGCTAGCACAGCGGGTAGGGCGTTTGCCTTGCACGCGGCCGACCCGGGTTCAATTCCCAGCCTCCCATATGGTCCCCTGAGCACTGCCAGGAGTAATTCCTGAGTGCAGAGCCAGGAGTAACCCCTGTGCACATCGCCAAAAAAAAAAAAAAAGACGAGATGACTGATTTGGGGGGGGGTAAACTCTAAATAATAGTGGTGAATCTTTTATTGAAACAATGAATCTAATCAAAGCAGATAGAGTGTTAACTAGAATTCATCTGCCCCACAGGGACTGGGAGGGGTGGGGGGTGGGGTTTTATTGGGGTTCTTCATGGTAAAAAATAAGTTTTGGTAAAGGGAAATGTGTTTGATATTTGCATGACTGAGACCTAAACCTGAAAGCTTTGTAACCTTTCCCACGGTGATTAAATAAATAAATAAATAAAAGGTAAAGGCCCTCCCGTTGATCATCGATTTGCTCGAGCGGGCCCAGTAACATCTCCATTGGAGACTTTGTTGTTACTGTGTCTGGCATATCGAATACGTCACGGGGAGCTTGCCAGGCTCTGCTGTGCGGGCGAGATACTCTCGGTAGCTTGCCGGGCTCTCCGAGAGGGGCGGAGGAATCGAACTCGGGTCAGCCATATCGGCTGCGTGCAAGACAAACGCCCTACTGCTGTGCTGTCGCTCCAGCCCAAATAAATAAATAAATTTAAAAAAAAAATTGAAAAAAAAAAGTCACACCAGGATCACTCCATGTCAAGGAGGCCCCTGGGGTGTTGAACTTGGCCGTGAGGCCAGGAACCTGGTGGGACAGTGTTCGGTGAAGCTCCAGGTCCAAGTGGGTATGTGAAGACCCATCCTGGTATCTTTCCGGGAAGGGTCTGTGACTCACTTGCCCTTGCTCTATGGGAGACTGGCCTTCCTGCTTGCTCAGGGGAGTTGGTTCCGGAGACTCCTCTTTGACCCAGAGCCCTGACACTGCCAATCACATCGTCACCTCTGACTGTGACCTCGCTCACTGGGGAGGGCTGGGGTCATGCCCTTCCCTGACTCACGCTTGCCGAAATGCTCTTCTGCCTTCTCCACCAGCCAGCAAGGGACTCCAAAGAAGCCTCCCCAAGCCACTGCAGCCTCCTGGGAATCCCCATTACATACCCCAATACATCTTGCGTGTTCAGGGATGGGGTCTTTAGACCTCTCCACTGCATCCTGGCCCCCTCCCTCTGAGTTGAGGGCTTCAGGCAGCCCCTCTGCTCTGTTCGGCCCCTTACCCTGGACTTCTCCACTTCCACCCTGGTCAGGCATTGCCCCAATAAGCAGATGTTCCCGTTGCTCCCGCAGGAGGTGCCGTCCAGCCACTGAGGGTCTGCGCTCTTGGAACTGCATATGTAGCTGAGGGGGCCCTCGCGGCACCAGAGCTTGCTGCAGGGCTCCACCTGCAAATCGCTGCAGTGGACATAGGTGGGTCCGAAGAGCTGCCGGCACTGCTGGTCCAGGTTGTAGAACGGGTTGTTGCCCGGGAGACCCGTGGGCAAGACCAAGGCGCCGGTGGGCTGATCCAGGAGACAGTCTCCTGCCAAGAAGGAAGCAGGGAACAGGCATGAGGGTGGAGAATCCCTCTGAATGGTCGTGGCCCTCACACGCCATTGACATTTCTCTCAGTGGGCGTAAGGTCATAGTGTCCTTGACTTGGTCTGAACCCGGCAATCCATAAGCATCTGTCCAGTGGCTGGCGCTGTGGTTCATGGGGGGAAGCGAAGATTCCATCCCTAACACTGGGTGGTCCCCAAGCACCCCTCGGATGCTCCTGCGGTCCCCCTAGCAACAGTGGGGATGATCCCCACAGCTGATAAAAATAAATAATCATTATCCAGGGGCTGACAGCCAGCTTTGCATGTGGGGGCTCCTGGTTTGTTCCCCGACACAGCATGATCCCACAATCACTGTCAGGAATGATCTCTGAGCAGCACCAGGAGCAGAATTCAAACCCCCAAACAAGCAAGTCGACCCAAATTGACATAGTCTAAGCCCCGACCCTCACCCTGGAACTCCCCACCCCTTCTTCTTTGGTTTTGTGTTTGGGCCATTCCCAGCAGTGCTCAGAGCTGACCTCTGGCTCTGTGCTCAAGGGTCACTGCTGGTGGTGCTCAGGGGACCGAATGTGGTGCTGGGATAGAACTGGGGTTGGTCTCATGCAGGCAAGTACCTTTCCTGCTGTCCTCCCTCTCCAGCCCCACACGATTACTTCTTGGGGCTCGAACCTGGGTTCCACGTGCAAAGATTATGCTCAGCCACTGAGCTCTGTCTCCCAGCTCCGTTTCTGCTAACCTGGGCTTCCGTGTGCTATGGCACCACCGGCCCAGACACAACAGCTGGGCAGGGAGGAGCATGGGAGAGGAAGAGGGAAGAGGACAGAGAAGGAGGGAAGAGCAGGGAGGAGGAGGGAGGAGCAGGGAGGAGGAGGGGCAAGCAGGGGGGAGGAGTGAGGAGCAGGGAGGAGGAGGGGTGACCAGGGAGGAGGAGGGGGAGTAGGGAGGAGGAGGGAGGAGGAGGGAAGAACAGGGTGGGACAGGGAGGAGGAGGGAGGAGCAGGGAGGAGGAGAGAGGAGGAGGGAAAAGGACAGAGAAGGAGGGAAGAGCGGGGTGGGGCAGGGAGGAGGAAGGAGGAGGAAAGAGAAAGAGGAGCAGGTAGGAGGAGGGAGGGTGAGGGGGAAGGAGGGAGGAGCAGAGAGGATGAGGGAGAAGGGGAGAGGAGCAGGGAGGAGGAGGGGGAGCAGGGGGGAAGAGAGAGGAGCAGGGAGGAGGAGGGGGAGCAGGGGGGAGGAGGGGGAGCAGGAGGGAAGAGAGAGGAGCAGGGAGGAGGAGGGGGGATCAGGGGGGAGGAGGGGGAGCAGGAGGGAAGAGAGAGGAGCAGGGAGGAGGAGGGGGGATCAGGGGGGAGGAGGGGGAGCAGGGGGAAGAGGGGGAGCAGGGCGGAAGAGAGAGGAGCAGGGAGGAGGAGGAGGGAGCAGGGGGGAGGAGGGGGAGGAGGAGGGGGGATCAGGGGGGAGGAGGGGGAGCAAGGGGGAAGAGGGGGAGCAGGGGGGAAGAGAGAGGAGCAGGGAGGAGGAGGAGGGAGCAGGGGGGGAGGAGGGGGAGCAGGGGGGAGGAGGGGGAGCAGAGGGGAAGAGAGAGGAGCAGGGAGGAGGAGGGGGGATCAGGGGGGAGGAGGGGGAGGAGGAGGGGGGATCAGGGGGGAGGAGGGGGAGCAGGGGGGAAGAGGGGGAGCAGAGGGGAAGAGAGAGGAGCAGGGAGGAGGAGGAGGGAGCAGGGGGGAGGAGGGGGAGCGGGGGGGAAGAGGAGGAGCAGGGGGGAAGAGGAGGAGCAGGGAGGAGCAGGCAGAAGCCGACCTTTCCCTTTGTCCAGCGTGTCCGTGAGGAAGGAGGCGCTGCAGATGGACCAGGGCAGGGTCCGGTTGATCCTTTTGAACAACGAGGCCATGAGGTGGTTCTTGCTCAGGGTGCCAAACTTGCTCACGCAGGAGTTCGAGTCGTCGTGGAGCATGCCGAGGACGTGCCCTGCGGGGAGAGGGGCGCGCGCTCAGACCACCGCCCCCCTTCTGCCTGCCGGGGTCCACCTGCTCTTCGGGTCTCCTCTGTCCCCTCTCTCGCAGGACCCCTTCTCCAGAGAGCAGCCGTGGTCCGTCTCTGCTCTGCCTTCCTGCCCACACCTCTTCCCGGCAGTCAGTCTCCCTGTGGTGTGGGCACAAGTCTTGACAGGGCACTTGTTCCCTGATTCCAGCCCTTCCCTGCTGATGCAGTGCGTCCAGGGTTCAGGGTGCCCATGGGGCACTGTAGCTGGATCTGCAGACCCGGGGTGAGAGTGAGGCCTGGGCCCGCTGGCAGGGAAGCTCGCCCTAACTCACCCAGTTCATGGGCCAGCGTGTAGGCAGACTGCAGCCCCTGGTCCAACACGATGGAGCAGCTCTTCCTGGGGTCACAGATGACGCCGATGTCTGCCAGACCCAGGGTGTCACAGGATTGTGAATCCAGACAGAAGCTCTGCGGGGGACAGGGCCATAAGGGATCCGGCTCAGGGTCTCCTCCTGCTGTCCTCAAGGACTTTCTTTCTCTCTCCTCTTCTCTCTTCTCTTCCTTTCCTCCTTCTCTCTTTTTCTTTCTCCTCCCTTTTCCTCTCATTATTTTAATTTTTCTCTCACTTTCTCTTCCTTCCTTTTTTCTTTTCTTTCTCTTTTCTCTTTCTCCCTCTTTTCCTCTTTCTTTTCTCTCTTTCTTCCTCTTTCTTCCTTATTCTTTCTCTTTCTCCCTCTTTTCTCATTCTTTCTTGTTCCCTCCCTTCCTTCCTTCCTTCCTTCCTTCCTTCCTTCCTTTTTCCCTCCCTCCCTCCCTCCCTCCCTTCCTTCCTTCCTTCCTTCCTTCCTTCTTTTCTTCCTTCTCCTCCCTCCCTTCCTCTCTCCTTCCCTTCCTCTCTTCCCCTTCCTTCCTTCCTTCCTTCCTTCCTTCCTTCCTTCCTTCCTTCTCCTCCCTCCCTTCCTCTCTCCTTCCCTTCCTCTCTTCCCCTTCCTTCCTTCCTTCCTTCCTTCCTTCCTTCCTTCCTTCCTTCTCCTCCCTCCCTCCCTCTCTCCTTCCCTTCCTCTCTTCCCCTTCCTCCCTCCCTTCCTCCCTCCCTTCCTCTCTCCTTCCCTTCCTCTCTTCCCCTTCCTTCCTTCCTTCCTTCCTTCCTTCCTTCCTTCCTTCCTTCCTTCCTTCCTTCCTCTGTTTCCCTCCCCCATCTCTCTCCTCCCCGACAATGCTCAGCAGTTATAATTCTATCTGCCGCCCCCCCCCCCCCCCGCCCCGCCCCTGCCTTGGTGCTTCAGAATCACTCCAGGCTGCCAGGGATTGATCCAGGGCTTCCTGCACGCAAAGCCGTCATCCCAACCCATTGAGCAGTGCTCTCACTGACCCTGAGGAAAGTCATTGTTTTCACTGCTCAATCTCTTTTCCTTTGTGAGTATGTGGAATGGGGATTGGAGCCTAGATCTCACACATGACCGACATGTGCTCTCCGCTGCTACCTTCTCTGTGGCGGAGACATAGGGGTTGTGGAAAACAACTGTTTGTGCTAGAACCCAGGGCATCTGTATGGCCTCTCTGGGCCTCAGTTTTCTCAGCTGTATTATGGGACCGACTACTGGGGATGTGGATGAGCCTGCATATGTCATTGCATGCCATTGGGAATGGGAGCATGGGGATCCCAAACAGTGCTCAGGGGCCCAGCAGTCAGTCCCCATGATCTGGGACCAGCCAGGGGGGAGGCTGGATGGTTCAATGCTCTGGTCATACCTCACTAAACCCAGTGGTGCTGGGGAATGAATTCGGGTCCTTGTGCATGCAAGACATGTGCCCTTGACCCGTGCTGTTCCCCAGCCCTGAAAAGTTTCTTTCAAGACCCACTGGAGGGGCTGGGGTATGACTCAGTGGTAGGGCACATGCCAGGCGAGTATGAGGCACTGGCTTGGACCCTCAGCCTTGTGCGCACACACAAGCCAAAGCAGGTGGGGTGGAGGGCTCCTGACTTGGGGGAACTTTGCGGGGGGACCCTGCTTGCTTGGCCCTGTGTTTGAGGGCCAAGAACGAGACATAAGAGACATCCTCTTTTAGTTCCGGCTCTGGGTTTCTGGCCAAGCCCATTCCCTGCTCATTTCCAAAAGGGCGTGAAGCTCAGGAACTTTTCAACGAAGCCCTTCTGAAATCCTCTCCTGCCCTGCCCAATCCCACACCATGTCCTCGTGCCTTCCTCATCCTCATTGCTTACAGGAGGCTCCTGGTGTCCATTTCCATGTCTGAGGGCAGACCCAGGGGTCCTGACTGAGATCTGCCCGTCCTTCTCCCTCCCCTCCCCCCGCCCCCCCGCCTCCCTCAGAACCTTCCAGAATGTTCCAGACCTTTCTGGTGAGCAGCACAGCCGTGTCATAGTGCTCCGCGTGTCTGTCACTGGGCGGGTTGTAGTCACGCTGCCAGGAGCAAAAGTTCTTCAGCAACAAATTTCCGTCTTGGGATGAGTTTGGGCCCAAATTGCCATCTCTTATTACCAGCATCTTCACCAACACCAGATTGATGGAGTTTTTGATGCTGGGATGCTTGAAGATTCGAGCAGCCACGGACATGAGGGTCAGAATGTGGTTCTGCGGGACAGGAGAGAAGGGGGTCATCTACTTCCGGTGCACACCACCCTATGCTAGCCACAGCCAGGCTCTGTGTTGAGCACCCCAGTGATGACAAAAGGACCCCAAGAATACCCTGCCACAGAGGCAGGGTGGGATGGGGGGGTGGGGGGGTGGGAGGGATACTGGGTCCCGTGGTGGTGGAAAACGGGCACTGGTGGAGGGATGGGTGTTTGGTCATTGTATAATTGAAACCCAAGCACAAAAATTTGTAAGTCTACAACTGTACCTCATGGTGTTTCACTAATAAAAATTGAAAAAAGAAAAAAGGACCCCAAGGTGTTGGCGTCATTCACATTCATGTTTTTGGTTCTATTTTGAGGTCACACAGCAGTGCTTGGAGGCTCAGAGACTGTTCCCATGAGGGGACACATGGTGGCAGGGATTGAAGCCGGGGCTTGTGTGTGCCATGCCTGTGGCCCGGCCATCTTCCTGGCCTTCACCTTATTATACCTCAAAATCAAGGGCCAGGATCACAAAGCTTGTGTGTGTGCCAGTCAGCACCCGAACCCTAATTGTGTGGAACCAAAGTCCATGCTCTTACTGTCAAGACCAGCTGCAAAGTAAATTGAAATGAACTGCAAGCCAACCAAATATAAATTACAATCCCCTGTGCCAGTGGCCACTGCCAGTGCCCCAGTGTCCACTCCCACAGGGACTGATCCGAGTGGAGGGAACACATCTGCCATCCTAAAAAGCTCGCCCACACTGCACGGGTCTGTCAAAACCTTCTAGCCAACCATCAGGTGTGAGCCCTGAATGCAGAACCAGAAATAAAGACTGAGCGTCACTGTGTGACCCCCCCCCCCCCAAAAAAAAAGACTTTTAAAGAAAGCAAAACAAAACCAACCAACCAACCAACCAACCAACCACAAAAAAAGACCCTGGGGGCTCCTGCATGCAAGGAATGTGCCCTGCCTGCTGAGTTATCTCTCTGGTCCCACAATTAAAAAGCCCCCGGGGCTAGGGAGACAGAATAGCAGGCAAGGCCTTGCATGTAACCTATTCAGGTTCAATTCCTGGCTTTGCATATGGTCCTGAGCTTGCCAGGAGTGATCCCTGTGCACAAAGCCAGGAGTTAGTTCTGAGCAGAGCCGGGTATGCCCTCCCCGCAAAAGCTTCACAAAAGGGACACACTCCACTCTCATTTTTCAAAAAAAACACGTGGCATAAACTCTGAGACAGTTCTCAGTGAAACATGGCACATCTGCCTCTTTGGGGCAGAGGCCGCTGGTAGCCAGGCACAGGGTAGGGGGGGGATCTGGGATGGGAGAAGACCCTCCCATGCTCCCTCACCATCCTCAGGAGGACTGGCTAGGGGAGCAGAGTCAGAGAGGACAGCTGGTGCCGGGAAACCCGATGTTAAATCAGTAAAGACCTGAAGAACCCTTGGGATGTTCTGGGGGCTCAAAGTTGCCCGGAGGATCCCAAGCCTGCAGCTCTGGGGCTCCTGGCCAGCCAGAAGCAGCAGGAGTGGAGTCACCAACCACCTCCCATCCCCAGGCTAGTTGAGGGGTCAACTAGCCTTCCCGTCCACGGCAGCACGGGAATATTGCCCTGAGAACCCAGGCTTCTCTGGTCAGTCCACACAGGGAATGCCAAAGAGCTTGGCGTTCCAGCACTGGGTACCCTAGAAGGAGTCCCAAGGCAAGATTGCCCTTCTGCAAAGGCCTTCATCAAACTACAGCAGTGACCAGGATCCCACTTGAACCCCGATTCATGGGCAACGGACAGCTCAGTTTGGCTCTGAGTGCTTCCCTGGCACGGCTCTGAGAGGTCACCACTACCGTCCACGGGGGAGGCTGGGTCTCAGCTGGAAGCAGATGCCTCCCACTGAGTCAGCAGCTTCTCTGCACCCGACAGTGTATAGCCAGCCGATACCCAGTGGTCTCTCCGACAGCGGACAAGGAGCACCAACCGTACTCCTTGAAGGCGCGCAAGGTCTCCCTTTCCCACTGATGCTCCGGTTTCTTAGGGCTGAGCCCTGGGCAGAAACTCCATCCCTACCCTTGCTTTGCAATAGTACCGCCACTGCCAAGCTCTGCCAGGCTGGGTGCTAGGTTGGCAAGGTAGTCCCGCTCCACAGCTCAGAACGAGCTGGGCCAGCCTCTGGAGGTTCCCTCCACACTATTTTTCACTCTGGGCACAGGGCGAGGGAATAGCCCCATCCCCCCACGCTGTAACCTCCCCCTACCCCAACACACGGGAGGGCGGGGTGATTGCTCCTTCCTTTCTTCCCCAGCGGTCCCATTGTCATCTCGGTGGGGGAGAGGCAGAGGTGCGCGCGCGCGCGCTTGTGTCTTTAAACCCACTTTCGGCTCAGTTTGTGCGGGAGGCTGAGGGTCTGAGGGATGTGGCGGGGTCGGGGACGGGCAAGGGGGAACCAGGAGGAACCTCGGCTCCAAATGGGACGAGGAGGAAGCAGGTGGCACCTGGCTCCAAATCGCAACCCAGCAGGCGCGAGGGAGGGAGCAGGCAGCGGGGGGTGGAATCCCGGGCCGGGCCAAGAGCGACGCGAACGCGCTCTCTCTGCAGCTCCTTTTGGGGAGGGTCTCCGGGCCCTCGGGCGGCGCCGCCTTACCTGCAGGTGGGCCCCGTAGAACCGCAGCACAGTCTCGTCGGCCACCACCAGCGTCTCCAAGTAGCGCGGCTGGGACACGAACCGCTTGCGGCGCCGCGGGGGCGCCGGGCTGGTGGCCTCCGCGTCTCCGTCGCCGTCGCGCTCCGGCATGTCGCCGCGCACCTCCCGCGCCTGCCTCGACCTCCCCCCCGCGGGCCCCGGCGGGCCGGCGGTGGGCACGGGGACGGGGCCCCAGCGCTGCAGGAGGTGCGCCTGGCTGAGGACGCTGCCGCCGTCGCCGTGGCGGGGCCGCACCGTGTACTCGTGGCCGTCCAGCTCGAAGGAGCCGTGGAGGCCGTGGCACAGGCTCACGGCCGCCAGCGACTGCGGGTCCCCGTTGACGGTGCCCGAGTAGAAGCAGCCGCGCGGCGGCCGGTCGCCCTCGGTCGCGCCGTACGCGCCCCCGATGAACTCGACCTTGAACTCGGGCGCCAGGAAGCTGGCGTCGGGCACCAGGTTCAGCACGAAGGTCTGGCCGAAGGCGGTCATGGTGCACTTCAGCTCGCCGTCCGCGCTGCCGGGCAGCCGCGAGGGCACCACCACCGCCGTGTCGGGGTCCCCCGGGTCGCCCGGGGTCGGCGCGCCGCGGGTCAGCAGCGGCAGCAGCAGCAGCGGCAGCGGCCACCCTCGGGGACCCGTGGGGAGCATCGGGGCGCAGGCGGCGGCGGCACGCAGGAGCCAAGGGGCCGGCCCGGGGCGCAGGGGACCGGCGGTTCCCTCCGGGGAGGAGAGATCAGCCGAGAGGTTTGCGGGGCTTCCTCCTCGGGGACCCCGGGTGGAGGTGCTGGGCGCACGCAGTGACCGTCCGCGGAGCCGAGCGCGACCGACTCGAGGGTCCGCAGAGCTGCCCCTTGCTGCCTGCGAGCCAGGCACGCACCGAACGCACGGCGAGCCCGTCGTATTTATACTCCCAGCCCGGCCTGGACATGAAAGGTTTATTTTTGATCTCTCGCGATGCCCCTGTCCCTTCCCCTGGGATCAGGGAGAAGCCGCAAAGAGGGAAGGCGGGAGGGAGATAGAGACAGAGAAAAGATTGGGATGGAATGCAAAACCGATCAGGAGTCTGCAGGACGCGCCCCTCCCCCCCAAGTGGCCACTCCGACTCTGCCCCCCTTTCCTGTCTGCGTTCGTGCGCACCGACCTGCAGACCCACAGTCAGGCCCGCCGAGCGCTAACTCCTGTGGCGCCCACCACAGAGCACCCCACACCCTAGCCCCAGCAGAGTGTCCAGGAGAGGCTTTTGCATTGGCCCTAGCACCGTCCCGTGCTGGGACCCCTTCAGGGCCGCTCTGGAGACCCCCCTGGGGCTTGGGGAGAAGGTTGCTGAGGGCCTAAGCATAAAACTAAAAAAGACAGGCAGGAAATAGGGGCTTAAATTCTGCTTCCTATGAAACACAGAAGCCCCGAACTTTCCAATGTTTGCCTTAAGCTGAGGGTAATGAGGTAATGAGGTACCCCTTCATTGATCAAAGACCTCTGTTTCAGGTTTTAATTTTAATTTTTTCTTTTTTGGGTCACACCTGGCGCTGTACAGGGGTTACTCCTGGCTCTGCACTCAGGAATTAATCCTGATGGTGCTCAGGGGACCACGTGGGATGCTGGGAATCGAACCCTGGTCGGCTGCGTGCAAGGCAAATGCCCTACCCGCTGTGCTATTGCTCCAGCCCCTGTTTCAGGTTTTTTTTTTTTTTAATGAATATTTCTTTCAGCCCCAGCTTCTCCCCCTTTTGGTATTGAATGACCTTGAATTACAAAGTTTTTCGAGAATAAGTTTGGGGGGCTACAATGTTCTAGCACCCATCCCTTCACCAGGGTCCACTTCTCTCACCAAAGTCCCCAGTTTCCCTTCCTCATCCCAGACTGCCTCCACGGAGGATACTTTTTTTCCTTTTTATTTAAGACACAGTTGTTTTGCAACATTGTTACTGAAAGGGTATCGCACATAGTACTTTCCCTTTCAGCACCAAGTTCTCATCCAGAGTGACCATCTCCTTCTGTCATTGTCGTAGTGATCCCTTCCCTGTCCTTGCCACGTCCAGGCCCGCTAGCTTCCCCCTCCTTCCCACTCCCGGCGGCCCAGCACAGGTCTACACCCCTAGAAGTGAGGTTGTAGCAAAATGAAGGGGACCCTAGAGGAGGTGGGTCTTGGGGTAGGGTGCCTGATGCCCAGAATCTGCTTTCTCTGACCCTGAAAGTCCCCCTAGAATCAGTTGTAGTTCCAGGGGCCTTTCGCATGGGGGCATGGATCCTTTGGAAGCATGTCCACAGCTGGGGAACAGATGTCCAAGCGCTGATAAGGCTCTCTTCCCCGGGATAAGAGAGGATGGGAACGCAGGGATGGAGGATTAGCATGAACTATACGGCTCTTTATGATATAGGTCTGGACTGGATCCTGGGCCGGGGTCTCCAACTACCGGCTGTCAACCTCCCCCCGCCAACCTTTCTCCGTGCTGGCACAATCAGCGTGGGAAATTCACTGGGGATCAATGATAAGCCCTCCCAGGTCACCTCCCTCCACCAGTCACTAGTTTCTCTGCCGAGGTCAATGCCCACTTCCACTGAGCCTGTTTGCAGCTTTTCAGTGGTCATGGAGGGTCCGCAAGCCCAAAGGGCAGAGTTCCACAGCTACCAGAGATGTTCAGGGACAGTGGACCCCAGGGTTGGGGTGCTGCCCGATCCCCCACCCCCAGGTGTCCCACATTCTGCTCCTCTTAGCCCAGAAGGAAGTTTTGAATGAGTGACAGGAGGCAATTCCAGCCTCCATGCTGTGGAGTCCTTTATGGGATAACTGACCAGCCAGGGTTAATGAATAGTTGAACTTTCTTTTCTTTTCCTTTTTGTTTTTTGTTTTTTGTTTGGTCACACCTGGCAATGCACAGGGGCATTCAGGAATTGCCCCTGGTGGTGCTTGGGGGACCATATGGGATGCCAGGGATTGAACCCGGGTCAGCCGTGTGCAAGGCATCGCTCCAACCCCAACAGCTGGAGTTTCTGATGTTTTGGAGAGATGCTGTGGGAGGCAGGGGGATGGAGGGAAAGATTTCTTCCTGTGTTTCCTAAAACAAGTAGGACACTCCCTCTGGTTCCACTCAGCCTGGGGGTGAGCAGCCCATGTTGCTTGCTCAGGGCTGCTTGTAACCATGTGCTCTTCGGCCTTCGATTCTTGGAGCCTCTGAGCTGCCAGTTAAGCTCCTGATCTGTAACTAGTAGGCGAGTCTTGGAGCCTCTCTCAGTAATGTGGGCAGGGGACTGGGATTGACAGGCTCTGTCCCAGGCCCCGTCCTCCATCCCATGTGTATTCATGGTTGCAAGTGGGATACTTCCCCTGGCCGGGGAAAGCTCTGGAAGCCTCCAGATCTCAGTTGGGAAGGTTCTAGAAGGATATATTTTTTAAAAAGTACAGCAGGTAGGGCATCTGCCTTCCGAGTGACGAACCTAGGTTTGATCTCCGGCACCCCATATTGTCCCTTGAGCCCCACCGGGAGTAATTCCTGGGTGCAGAGCCAGGAGTAACCCCTGAGCATCTCTGGGTGTGGCCCCAAAGCAAACAAAACATAACAAAAATATTCCCCTAAACAGCCCTTTGGAAGTTCCCTTTGCAGAAAGAAGTAGCGAGACCTCGATTTTATCCCAGCTTAGTTGCTACTGCTACTAATGCTACTACTGTTACTACTACTATTGTTGCTATCGTGACTGTTACAACCACTGTTACTACCACTGTTCCTACTACAACTGTTCCTACTACTTTTACTACTACTACTACTACTACTACTACTACTGTTGTTGTTGTTGCTGTTATGGCTGTTACTATCACAGTTAATACTACTGTTCCTACTACAACTGTTCCTACTACGACTACTACTACTACTGTTACTACCACTATTGTTGCTACTGTGACTATTACTAAGACTACTACTACCATTCTTAGTATTATTAATGCTGTTACCACTACTCTTAGTACTATTGTCACTATTACACTTATACTATTAATTTTGTTACTACTACTGTTACTACTATTGTAACTACTACTGCTGCTGCTGCTGCTGTTACTACTACTACCACCACCATTGCCACTGACCCACTGCAGGAAGCCTGTGTGGCTGCCCTCCCTCTCCAGCTCATGGACTGTTCCTTCCCAGGAGTGCCCCCTTGCCAGGAATCTCAGGCTGGTACCTACTACACCCAGCAATCACCAGGGACCAGGCTTTGTCTTTTGTGTGTGTGTGGGCTTTTGGGGTCACACCCGGCGATGCTCAGGGGTTGCTCCTGGTGGTGCTCAGGGGACCATATAGAATCCTGGAAATTGAACCCGGGTTGGCCGCGTGTAAGGCAAACGCCCTACCCACTATACTATCGCTCCGCCCCCCAGACTTTGTCTTAAGCTGGGCCTGAGCCCTGCGCCCTTGATGTTGGGGACTGTGTGCCTCGCTGGTGGCCAAAGGCAGATAAAAATGGTTCGAGCAAGGGGCTGGAGAGATAGCACAGTGGGTTGGGTGTTTGCCTTGCACGCGGCCGACCCGGGTTCGATTCCCAGCATCCCATATGGTCCCCTGGGTGCAGAGCCAGGAGTAACCCCTGTGCATCACCAGGTGTGACCCAAAAAGAACAACAACAACAAAACAGTTCAACAACAAAACAGTTCAAGCAAACAAGCGGCTCAGAACCAGGCAGGGTCCCTTCCAGAGGGCCCCCTGATTCCTGTGCTTTCAGATGCTGACGGCAGGGGCAGGCTGCTCTGGTCCACTCCCTGAGAGTGTGCTTGATGGGATTCAAAGGTGAGAAGGAAGAAAAGAAAAAGCGAGGTTTCAGGATGCGCCAAGGGGCATGAAAGTCAGACTTCTGTGTCCATAACTACTGCGGCGAGGGAAGCTGCCCCCCGCCCGTCACCCTGTTCATTCACACTGCACATGTTTTTGTGCTGGATCACCTTTGAATCCACCTTTGAATCCACACCTGTCAGTACTCAGGACTTACTCCTCACTCTATACTGATGAATCACTCCTGGTGGGGCTCAGAGGACCATATGAAATGCTGGGGATTAAATCTGTATCGGCCACATGCAAGGCAATAGCCCTATCTGCTGTATTATCACTACAGCCCTGAACTTCAATTTCTTGTTTTTTTTTTTCCTTTTTTGATCACACCTGGCGTTGCACAGGGGTTCCTCCTGGCTCTGCGCTCAGGAATCGCTCCTGGCAGTGCTCAGGGGACCATATGGGATGCTGGGAATCGAACCTGGGTCGGTCGCATGCAAGGCAAACACCCTATCCTCTGTGCTATCGCTCCAGTCCCAGAACTCGAATTTCTTTTTTAAAGTATGCTCTCAGTAAATGGTTATTTGTTTTTGGTGCTGGGGTTATACTCCAGTGCCTCACACTTGCAAGTGGTGATTAGGAATGAGTGGTGCCCATGAAGGCCTGGAATTCTCTAGAATCTCCTTCTACTTGGAATGGACATTAGTGACCATCTAATCTATAGCCACTCTCATTTTGCGGAGGAAAAACCGATCAGAGGTTTCAGTGCTTTGCCTAAAGATACAGAATTTGTGGTAAACGTCCCCCTTAAAATTCTCCACTGCCCGAAGACAAAGAAACCGTATGGTTTTCAATATTTCATTTGCAACGAGTGAGTATCTTTTCATTAAAATC